TGATGATGATAATAAAAAGTGAATTGTGTTGTAGAATGCGCCTCATTCATGAGAAAGTCTACTCTGCCCGTGCTTCTCTTGCATAGATTGAGGGTGTAAAATCGTGGGAGTGGAATAACTTTGATAGCACCTGTGAAGTAGTGGGGATAAGTAGCTCAGACAGGATGTATGGACTAAGCATGGGTCATCCAAGCTCCCTGCAGAGGCCAGGGAGAGAACTGCAGCCCTTCGCCTTAACAATTGCGGAAGAAATCTCTCTCCATTTATTAAAGGTAATTGGGTCTGAGACAAAGGGGGATCGTGTCTCCCTTGATGCCTGAATGGCTGAAGGTGTTGTGTTCCCGAGGCGGGTCATGGGTTGTCCAGCCTTTCATTGAGAACACAGTGTTAGCCAGACAGGTGTACATGCTTGTAAGCCCAGCTCTTAAGTAGCTGAAGCAGGATGATCACTCTAAGGTCTATCCTGGGCTATCACTACACAACGTTCCAGGTCAGCTTTAGCTGTTAGCAAGACCCTGTCTTCAAGCAAATCAACAGAAATTTACCATGCAGGGTCTCTAAAAATGCTCCTTTTCAGGGCTTGTTCACTTGTGTGTTCTCATCTGGGCCTCTCAGCAACACGGTGAGGTATGGATGCCAGAGTGGTACACCCCTTCTTTAGAGATGGCAGGACCAGTGTGGGCTAACTAAGCTAGAATGTGGTTTGCCTCTGCGTGAGTGGATTAGAGGCAGACAGCATGCTTTCAAAGAGAGGCATAAAAGGCTCTCCTAGGGGCGGTAGATGTAGCTTGGTTAGTAGTGCTCGCCCGGCCTGCTCAGCACCCTGAATTCCATCCCAGTACCTCATAAACTCGGTGTGGTGGGGCAAACCCATGATCTCAGCACTCCAGAAAGTGAAGGCAGGGGGATCAGAAGTTCAGCGGCATCCTCGTCTACACGGTGAGTTCAAGCCCAGCTTAAGCTACACGTAGAGAGGAGAAGGTGGGAACCACATTAGAGAGGACAGAGAGACATCATCCTTTATCCTTCACAGCGACTGGAGAGCCAAGTTCTTAATCCTATGCAATTTTCAAGGAAAAGAAAGTCTGCTGTTTATCTCCCTCCACCTGAGGACAAGCCTATGAAGAGGTAGAGATGAGCGTGGAGCAGGTGCCCAGGAAGCTGGCGGTGATGCGTTGATGTCCTCTCAGGCATCTGGTACCCTCAGCTGTTCCACAGTTCATTCATTCAGCAGACACAATCCCCAAAGCACTTGTGTACTGGCCATGCCCACTCTGATTTGCCACCCTGTGGTCCAGTCATTACCTCATTATTTTATAAAACTCACCACTTTGGGCCACGTGACTGTGCCCACTGACAGATCGCTCTTTAGCAGAGTCTTCAATATACCGCTTATCACCTTGAACTTGGTTCTTACTACTTTGCCCTTTCCCCCTGGGATTCCTCGTAGTGCGTTGCTTGGGCTACCGCTCTCTCGGCTCAGTCCCGCTTATGGCTCCGAGGGAGCAGGGCTAGGCTGGCTGCCGCTGGCTGGTGTAGGCCCAACAACGAGCTGCACCTCTCCTGCCCTCTGTCACGAGTCTGTCATGCACAGGGACACCTCTGTGCTGTCAGTAGTGAGGGGGATGAGGAATGAGGCTGTGAGGGGCTGGTGGTGAAGGGGATCATTCAAGCTCTGGTTGACAGCCCTTCGTAAGCAGCGTGGTGCCACTACCAAACGACGAGGGCCACTCCTTGTCCCCGCTCACTTCCTGCAGAAGCTCTTGGGAGTAGGGCCGGGCAGCCGAATCACTGCCTGTCTTTACCTCTGCAAAGTGATGCTAGATCTCATCGGTCTGTGTCCCAGGGGGGTAGGGGAAACCCACAAGGATTCCATGTGGGTTCAGAGGCTTTCTGGCCCCAAGAAAGTTCTATATGGGGACAGTGGGGCAGCAGGACATTGGAGGCACTAAAAGCAGCAAAATGATGTCCTTTCTCTGTCTGTCTGTCTGTCTGTCTGTCTGTCTGTCTGTCTGTCAGTGTGTCTGTCTGTCTCCCCACCCCCACCCCCGTGCATGTGTGTGCACGCACGTGCGTGTGCACGTGTGTGTGTGTGTGTGTGTGTGTGTGTGTGTAAGGTAGAGCATGTATGTACAGGAGTGTGTCTTTTAACATTTTGAAATGTGTAACTTCTACTAAATTCCCCCAGTGCACATAAAGTGCATGCCTGTTGTATCATTTTGGAAACCAATGACTAAACAGAGGAAAAGGAAGAGTCTGCCCTGGTCACCACCGCCTGCCTAGTCCTCCTGCGGCGAGGGAGTGTGACTGTCCTGTAAAGCGCTTTTACACTCGGCTTCCTGGATTTAACACACGGCGGGCGATTGTTCTGATGCCATTAGGGATTTCACAACATCCTTTGCTCTTAGCGCACACTTGAAAGTGCTATAGTTTTAGCAGCGCCTTTGAAGAGATTAAAGGCACTCAGCTGCTAAGTGTACCAATAGCTTTCCCCATCAGGACATTGCCCGGCATTGCGGTTCCCCCTTGACTTGCCCCCCGCCATGTTACAGTCTGAGCAGAACTATTGTTCGCTACCCCCACCATGCACTTTATATCCCCCCCCAAAAGCAAAGCTGAGCATGTCTGGACTCTCTGACCTTTTCTCCTTGTCCCAAGATGTCCTCTCCACTGCACTGCATCTATTCACTGTGTTCTGTGTTCCTTTTCTGTGGGATGATGTTGGGGGGTGGGGGGAACAGTAAACTTGCATTCCCCGTTGATCAGAATTTGGTGGTGTCCTTCCAAGGTTGGGAGACCTATGAGTATCTACAATCCCACCTCTTTTCAACTGTGTTCTCCTTTTCCAATGGATGCAAAGCCACCGTGGTTAACCACATCAGTTTTAGATGGATCTTCAAGTGGTCTTCATGCTTTCACTATTGGAACAATAAAGGGGAGCCCCCACTGCGATTCACAAGAGGCGACCAGGAACTGTGTCTGTTTTGTGTAGCTTTAAATGTGTTTTAATTTGTTGTCAATTAGTTCTTTATCTGTTGCAAACCACCCCAACATGCATAGGCTTAGAAAAACAAGTGTAGCAGCCTGAAACCTGGCTCACAAAATTCTGTGAGCCAGGGGGAGATGTCACTGTCTGGGCAACTCTGCTGACCTCAGCTGGCTCGTTAGTGTTTCTGTGTTCAGCTGCTGGGCTGACACTGGGTGATTCGGGACACTCTCACTCAGGTGTCGGGCCTCACAGGATAACCGAGGTGCGTAGGCTAGCGGCCCTTCACAGCCGGCTTGCCCACCCTTCCTCACTCGGTGGTCCAGCGAGAGTCCCACAATGAGAAGGTAAACCCACCCTGTCACACTTGCATTTCTTCTGCTAATATTCTGTTGCCTAAAGCCAGTCACATGACCAGTTTAGAGCCAACGTGATCAGAAGACATGGACCAAGGGGGGAATAACTTGGTCCTTTGTATGCAACAGACCAAGCCGGGATTCTACAGCTGAAACTTCTGGGTCCTATAGGAACACTCACACCATCCTCCAGTGTCAGACCCTTGACCCGGTTCCTTCTGCTATGGCCTTACCTGCTCAGTCCCCACAGAGACACTTGACCTCCGGGAACAGAGCCACTCTGGTTCTTAAACTCCAGAAGGCAGTTGCTGGGTTCAAAGTTACACAAAGTCTAAAAACAAAACAACAACAACACAACTATTTGACTTTGAGAAAATATTTTTGTGGACTAGAGAAATGGTTCTTTGAAAGAACACTTGCCCAGCACGCACAAGGTTCTAGATTCAATACTCTGCACCATTCTGGGGCTCAGGGGGAAGTCTACCTTCTCTTTGGCAACATATAGGAGATCTGGTTTTCTAGGCTTCTTGGCCGCACTAGGCTTCTGTGGCCCACGGAAAATGGGTGATGGAGTGTGCACACTCCACACTCCAGCGATCCTGAGGGAGCAGGAGGACTTCTTCATCTCTGTTGCTGGGGTTCTCTGGAAGCAAGAGTTCTGACTGAGGGGTAAGGGATCACCCACCGTTGCAGAAATTTCTGCCTTGAAATCAAAGCAGCTGTGACTTCCCATGTTCGAATCTCACAAGACCGGCCCGCTAATGATCACTTGTGGGAGTGAGCTCACAGACACTGTACCTGGCCCCTCCACTTCCTGAGAATGTGTGAGCAGTTGAGAGTTGTTGGAGGGGAGAGACTGGTAGGTCATATAGCTGTCACCTGTAAGTTACCTGTGTCCTTTACCATTGCTCCATTGTTCCTCCCAAGTGGTTCCAGTAAAACTCATTGTTGTACCAGGCTAGATTTGGGGGGATGGTTTCCTTGGTCTGTCACGGATGTCCTATCTGAGGAGGACAGACATTTGCTCACCTCTCTCTGGAAAAGCTAGTGCTGTGCCACTGAGAGGCTGATCTTGTCTCTCTGTTCATCGAGGACATTAAAAGCTGGCCAATAAGGACACAGCCCCTGCTCTCTCGAGCTCGCTGCCAAATGAGACAGCCACAGATCTCTCATCACGACGTGATGGGATAGATCACGTCTACACCTGAGCGCTGAGCCTGTGGGAATAGAGAGAAATGACCCCCTCTGCCCGGCTCCTCTGGAGATGGGAGGCCTGAAGAGCAACACGCTCCGTCACTCAGGCAAACCAGTCCACCTTCTTGAGTAGGTTTATTTACATGCACATGATAGCTGATCTAGAGCCTTCCTGAGGGAAAAAGGTCTGCTGAGCTGACGATGGATTTTGCCACAGGAAATGCCTGGGTTTGTTTGTTTGTTTTTTAATATTCTTTACTGAGCTAGGGCCTGAAAAT